CCCGCCGTCGTTTGTCCCGCAAACAGCTCCGCATTTTTCCTCGGGTCTCGTTCCGGCGAACTTCGAGCATCACCGTCGCGTCGCGGTCGATCGCTGCGGGATAATCGCGGTCCCCCATGATTTAATGACGGCGACGCGCACCGTACGTTCTTGTCACCGGAAAAGTATAGCGGCTCCGGAAATTTACTTCTATGGCCGCATCTTCTCGCGATTTAGCGTCGCACAGTGTTCGAGAACAGCGGTTTCGCGATCGATTGATATACAGCGTGTAGAAAAAGTATTCGCGCACCATTTAAAACGGAATAACTTTTTCACGATCGGGACAAGCGATCTAAATCATTTTTGTGTTGTTAGCGGGATCGGTTGACTAGACAATGGCTAAAAAATTATTTCGAAGAATTGCAATTTCTTGGCACGATAAAGGAATTAGAAAATGCTGTTTTATCAACTTTTCTCATCCGAGGCCGCAACGAAAATTTCAAAAATGCATTGCGCGGATCTCGGTAACTTGCACGCGCGTTGAAAATTTCAACGGATCTTCTACGGACGCGAATCACATCAGAGCTTGGAACATTAAAAATTGCTCCGTCTAAAAAACGTTCTCGAACCTATGTCAAAGGTCAAAGGTGCGCCGTAGGCCCCCCGTTTGTTCTCGATCGCGGGAGAACGGTTCGACAAATTCCGGGGATCGAACAACAGAAACGGGAACAATATTTCTGTCCGACGATCCTGAAAATCACCGATATCCTTTCACGTCTAACTACCAACATCGAGAGATCGGGGGGTATTAATTCGGGCACCGCCAGACGATCTCGTCCCGCCTCACGGAAGCAGTCCCGCCTTTAATGAAACAGTGCCGGGAACGCAAATAGCCGGGACGAGCTGAGAAAAATCTCTCTCGCTTCTTCCACCGTTCGCCGGCGGCCCCGTAGCCAATTGGAATTCTTGGGGAACGCGGTGCTCGACACGTACAAAGGCGCCCGATCGGAATTTAAACAGCAGAAATTACGAGTCTGCAGCAGCGGGCCACGTGAGCGAAAACAATCGAGTAACGCGCGTCGTCCCGGGATCGACTCGCGATCGTCGACGCAGGGGGGCAGGGAGGGGGGATCGATTCCCATGGATCATGAATACGTACCGGCGGTGTTAAATCGATAAACTCCGTGTACGCATATATGTATATGGCGTGTGTGTGTCGGTCGGTGTCTGGGCTCTCCCTCTACCGCGCGACGGCAACGCGTAAATAATTGCATTACCTATCCTACGGCGCGTAATACGCGACGAATGCCGCCTGGTATACCCAGGGCACACTAACGATATTGCCCTCACGTCCGTTCGCCGATCTATTTGCCTCGAGACAGGGGACCCGGGACAACGGAACCAGCCGAGTCGTGACGCCGATTTTAACCGGGTTAATGCGGACAGGGATATTAGCCGTTTAATATCACACCCGGAACATTTTCATTTCTTTCGCTCGGCGCGTCCGGCGCGAACGATACCGCGTTTGCGAGAGCTTCTCGCGATGTACGGGGCTGATAATCTTACGGTGGTCGTTGCCAAAGCTCGAACCGTTCGTCGTCCTTCGCGCCGATTTTTAATAGCAAGGATTTCTAGCGAAGACGATGCAAGCCTCTGGAAGAAGCGCGTCTTGATGTCGACTTCTTCATTAGCGAAAATGTTAACATTCTGCCGGTGCAACGTTAACATTGAGCGTTACAACATTCCGTGAAAGCTGCGAATACCGCGTTTTAACGCTAGAACTGTCGACTCTAAAACGCGGCTAATGTGTATTGTTTTATAAAAATGCCAAGACTGGATTTATTTCAACTTCGTATGATTTATGTTATAATACCTGTTTCAATGAAGAAGTGTATATTTTTATGATATCGGGAACTGTAAAAGAAAAAATCGGAAACCAATCATTTTTACTGGTTTGATGGTTCTAGTGTTAATAATATCATATTACAATTTTTCTTTCTTTTGTAGCAAAGTTAATACGTTCTTTTGTGATGGCAGAATTATTTGACATTTTTTTATACAGAAGAGTATAATTTTTTTTAATTTTATATCATCAGTCACCGGTGACTGACACGGCGCTTAGCGAGAAATGCTGACCAATCGGTGTAAGTGTTTTTCGTTAATGACTCGTTAACGAAGCTGCAGAGAACATAACTCTTTCGCGAGAAAATGAAAGACGATTTCTGAATGTTTAGAGGAAATATTTAATGATGTATTAATTCTGTAACTTTCTGAGACATTTTTCTGGCAGCTTCGAGTCCTATTTTTTGTCGACAAAATACTAAAAGAACCTTTCCAACGCTTTTACAAAATGGAATTTCGTTGAAAAACGAGATCACTTTCCGAACAACCCTGTCGTTTGTGGAGTCTAACGAACATCTTGGTTTTTTTTCTTCAATTTCCGTACAATGTTGTCTTTTAATCATTTATCTCCTAAGAATCTGTTTAGCAGTATCCAACGTAATTATGTTATCGCCCTGTATCGCACTGTTTTCTATAACCAAAGCGATCCGTCGTTTCGACGATTACGAGAGAATTATAACGGCAGAACATCGCTTTGAATTATCATATAATAATTTTGTAATGGCTCGTTTTCATCGCAAAGGGCTCGATAATAATTTCAGCAGAGATTGCCAGATGATTTCACCGAGCCAGAAGTTTCGTTAATTCAAAGCCGAGGCCGCTTGTGTTCAGTGAAAAGGATTTCCCGTGAACTCTAGAACGGATATGTAATCTTGGATGGACGTGTAACTGCTCTTTGTGATCGTGTTCGATAATTGAATACCTCGGCTGGTACAGAGTGAAGTTCCGGCCGGGATATAAACGTATTTTACAATAAAATTTAACGAGCCCGCTCCGGTGCCGATAAGTATTGACTATTGACGTGTTTTCAATTACACGGCGGACGCGAAACTGAGTGTAAGACGCGCGACAGATATTGGAAAATCTATTTCGTTTTACAATAGACAGTAACCGGAATCGGACTGCATCCGCTGGCATTTTTCGTTTTTACGCGCCGATGGCGAACAACTGTCGCGGGTTCTTTGATGTTCTACGAGGGTAAAGACAATCGACAGTGCGCCGATACAAAATATTATTCAACGCTAAGCCTATGGAGCATCGACCAGTGTTCGCAAGGAAATAAGTTACGCAAGGAGTGGGGATAGGCGACGCGTGCGCTAGGAGCTCCGTACAGTAATGTCTCTCTAATTGACGCTCGGATTGTCCACAAGAGTGGACAATTTGGGAAGAGGAGACACGATTATTCGAGCCATGCGGTTCGTTTTTATAGTTACGAATTGTCAACAACTATAAGAACGAGCTGCAGGGTTCAAATAATCGTATCTAATCTTCCCAAATTGTCCATTTTGCGTCAGTTAGGGAGACATTACTGTACAGCGGCGTGACCCATCCACCGGGTGAACAACATAATTCGGTGCTCGCGATGCTTCGGAACGCAACATTGGGCTCCGAAGTATTCCGAGCACTGTTAATTAATTCTCCTTCCGATGAACCGGTCAACGGTGAGGGAGGGGTTTTTCCAAGCACGACGTCCGCAGTTTCCGGATGCGGACCTCTCTCTCCGCAGTGGTTTCAGCTGCTTTAACATCGACCGGCATAAGCAAGCACTGCTTCGCCCGGTCAGAGCCGGCCTCGGCCCTGCTGCTCAATTATATTGTAGACATTAGATGTTAATTAATTCTCTAATGTTCACGCGGTAGACGTGTCACGCCGCTGTGCGGGACTCCCAGCGCATGCGTCAAATACCCCACTCCTTGCGTAACTTATTTCCCTGCGAACACTGGCACCGGCAGTGATCAGCGCGTATTGTATCTTTACTTTGAAAGAATGACAAGTTTGAATTCGTGTCTCGGCTTCACTTTTTATTGCAATGTGTACTTGAATTAGAAATATATAATCGAGCTTCTTGTACGGAAATATGTGTTCGCGATTTCAACAATTTTCAAATATAATTAGACCGACACAGCAGGCTTTGTGATAATATTAGATATCCCGTTATACGATGTATTATGTAATATTATTCTATTCATGAACTAACCTATTCATTAATCTATTCTTGAACTAACGTCAATAGAAGGTTAATGTTAACGAATGATACGTAGAGTGTTTTATTTCGTCATACTTAAGTAACTGTTCACAATTCGATCATTTCATTTTGTCATCCACCGTGCATAATTGGCTCATTCCATTAATCGTTCATACGTATTCATATTCATATATATCAAATAACATCAAAATGTAAAAGAAGAATGGCAAGAATTGTATAAATGTGGAGGAAATGTAAAACCAAAAACGTAGACAGAAAAAATACGTATTTTGATACGCCATTTTACATTATATTTTAAACCTGAACATATTATAGACCAACAGGGCTTTCTTATTTCTATTAAATACGAAAGAACTATATTCTACGACGATTATTCTAATACGATCGCTCTTCACAATGTACACTGTGGTCCACCAAGATCTGCCACTTGAATTACCACCCATATTGTCTTACTGTCTCTTAACTCAGTTTTAGTTACTCTTTTCATTGGTAGAGTCAAATTTCGTACGTTACGATTAAAAGATTCAAAGCGACCTTCGAATCTCGACAATAAAAGCAATATAGAAAAGAAAATTAATTATATCAGAGTATGCCGCATTTTAGAACCGTCGTTTTTGAAACATTTTTCTATGGAAGAAACGGTTTCCGAGTAATTTAGGTGGCAGATCTTAGCGGACCAACCTGTACATAATTTACACATTTTTTTGTCCAATTACAATTTCAATCGTGCGGAACAATTGACTGAGAAATGATCTGTTTAGAAGAAATCGAACAGTGTACGAAAATAATTGCGGTCGAGTAACGTTTGCCCGTTTCGCGAGATAATGTTGCTTCAGCCGGGATCGAAACTGCCCGCGCTCGTTAATTGCATTAGCTTAATCGCCGTTGAAACGAAATAAATGAATCTCGTTACCTCTTGAACCTGCCTGTGCACGACGACCTTGTGCCACTGATTATCGTCGAATCGGACCCGGTATGGTTTTATATGGAGGTCTAATCTACCTTTAGCCAGCGACATCCCCACAGCGACACCGCTGTCTCTCAGGGATATGGTTAGATAATCGTCTCCTTTTCCTGAAACAAAAAAATTTGTACGGTCAGTTGATACTCGCCATTCCAAAATTACCTGGACCGTGCGAACAGCACGAACAAAAATCACGCGCCTAACTTTCGTGTCGCCAACAATCGCGAAAACGAGGGACATTCATGGTTTTCCAGCCGTTAATTTGTCGGCTAGAAAATTGCGGTAACATTGAGGGCATTTTATCAGTGGCGACACGATTTTGTCGAGCTATTTTTATTGAATTGGTAAAATTAAATAATTGAATATGACCAATGTAAGGAGCGTTAAGTGATCTTAAGTCTGATAAAATATTCTGCGCGGTATCAGTGTAAGCATTTATACCTGAATACCAGATTTCATAAATTAATTTTTATTATAATTAATATGAATATAATTATTATAAATTTTATATTATATTATATTATATTATATTATATTATATTATATTATATTATATTATATTATATTATATTATATTATATTATATTATATTA